AACTCCTATACCATAATTTACCAGTCTCTTATACCTTCTGTTTAATATATTTTTGCTTTAAGTTCCTTTTCAGCCTTAAATGAATGGTACATGTTGTGTGATTGTCTGGATTTAAATCCCAGCTGTATCATCTATGATCTGGGTATTCTTGGGCAAATAATTTAACCTTTTGTAGGCTGAAGGGTCCCATTTTATGAAGACCAGAATAGTTCTTATGTCATAGACTTATGAGGGCTAAATGATTTGATATGCATAAAGGCTTAGAACACTGTCCAGTACATGGTAAGAACGCAATGATTATTTCTTTGCAAGACTTCATTTCTGTGCTGTAAAGTGTTGAATCATGGATTTGGGAATAACAGCTAGATGTTATTTGGCCTTAAGGCAGGTGAATTTCTAAGACACCTATGACAGATGAATGACTGTTACTAAACAAACCCCACTGCATTCCTCCTCAGCAGTGTGAGATTTACTTTGACTATCAAATAATTCCATCTTTGTTTTATTGGTATCTGTCTTGCTGTAATTTAAAAGCTCATTTTTTTTTTCTTGTAGTTTCTGCACAGATGTAGATTCAACAAATATTTAAGTATATACTAAGTCCCAGGTACTATCAGTATGTTCTAGACATAAAGCAGAGCTCATGGTCCCTGCCCTTGAAGACCTTACATACTGTTGGAGCAAGAGGGACTGAGAATGCATGAATGTAAGAACTTCAGAGTATTTCATGCTTTGAAGGGTATAAACAGAATGATGTGCTCAAAAGGGAGAAGGCTACTTAGGATAAAAGCCTTTAAGAAAGTGGTTTTTGATTGAGATGTAAATGACTGGCTGGAGTCAAACCCTGCAGAATTTGGAGAAGAGCTTTCACAGGGTCTTCCTCTCTAAGGAATGTAATGAAATCAACCTTTACTCTTTTAAATAGACTGCAAAGTCTTTCATTTCCTAAGAAATACTGTTTTCTCTCATTTTGTTTCTTATGCTCAAATCAAACACATTCCAATTTCTTCCTATACTTAAAGTATGGCGACCAAAATTGATTTCCAGATTCCACCAGGGATCTCACTGGTATCTGGTAAAAAGGAAGGATTCATCTCTAACGTTTTCATGTTCTGCATCTTCCCAACACATCCTGTCATAACACTGCCTGGTTCATTCTTTTGTTTTGTGGTCATTGGAGACTTACAGGGTTCCTTCCTCTGTATTTGTGCCTGCCTATCCCTTCCTTTCCAATATTTATATTACTGGTTTTTTGTTTTCAGTTGTGCCATGTGCAATATCTCTGTTAAATCTTTTTCTGTTTTTAAAATGACATTGTTTCTTCAGTTAATCATGGACATTTAATATTTTTTCACCTGAGGCCAGCGTATTACTAATTTTCCTCCTGGAGAATTGTCAGCCACTCTGATGTGCCTGCTCTCTGTCTCTTCATCTGAGACAACAATGGCAATAATAATAGACAAACCCTCCCTTTCTAGGCAGCTATTGATCCACCGAAGCATAGCCTGGTGACTGTTTTTCTTTTAAGTAATTTGCTTTCGTAGTGGTTTAAAAGAACATAGTCTTTGGGGCCAGATTGCCTGGGTTCTCATCACTTACCAGCTCTGTGTTCTTGAGCAATTTACTTAATTTCTCTGTGCCTTTGTTTTCCTATCTGTAGCAAGAGAAGAGAGTAGGATGGGCACTTGTCCTTATTTTCTAAGATTGTCATGATGATTAAATGACTATACGCTTTTTAAAATAGTATCTGACACAAAGTGAATGCTCAATAGATCTTAACTATTATTATTGGCTTACATAAAAAGAAACCCAAAAAGATAATCTGAAATTAAGCTTTATATAACCAAATAAATATATATTGGGTAAATATACCCAATAAATGTATACCAAATTACCCAGTAAATATGTATCATGTCAAGTTTGCCTTTTTGTATCTTTGCCAAGAATCTAAAAGCATGTTTACATGAAAGACAGTATTGTGTTCTAATAGAAAAACATGAAATTTTGCATCCAAAGACCCATGGTTTAGTCCTAGCTCTGCCACTTATCAGCTGTACAGGAATGTTCATAGGAACATTATTCATGATAGCCTCAAAGTAGAAAGAATTCAAGTGTCCATCTACTGGTAAATTAATCCATCAACTGATCAGTAGAATATCACTCGGTAATTAAAAATGTGCTGATACATGCTATAGCATGGATGAACCTTAAAAACAGGCTAAGTCAAAGAAGTCAGTCATAAAAGATCACATGTTGTATGATCTCATTTATGTGAAATGCCCAGAATAGGCATATCCATAGGGGCAAAAAGTACATTACTGGTTGCCAGAGGTTGTTTAAAAGTGGGGTCAATTCATTGTTCTTCATTGTGGTTCACCACTGTTCACCTTTCCTGCGTATTGACTCTCTGCCTCTTTCCTTTACACATTTTCTTGATACAACTCATAGGATATATGCCTTCATAAAGAGAAAGGTGAAAACCTAAAACAACTTTGTCCTTTAGAGGTTAGTCATGGTGTCACTGCATTTTTGGCATAACTTAACGATAAAGGGATGTTGCTCAGGCAAGCCTGGTAGTTCAGTTTTTTGCTTTTTAGTGGAACTCTTAAGTTGCCTAGCAGAGACCTTTTAAAAATTCTATTAAAAATTAACAGATAAACTTCACTGAACTTTATATGCAGTGAACAAATATAAAGAGGAGAACACATTTCAGAATTTGCAAGGCTAGGTTGTCATCAAAAGATAGGAGCATAAAACTGGTTTTTGGGTCAAAAGCTCTGTGTTGGAGTTTATCTGACTTATATTATGATCTTGACAAAGTGATTTCATTTGTGGCTAATATTTCAACTTCCACAGCAGTGTACTTCTTCTGGGACATGCAGTTATTTCCCAGGCAGTGTGCTTTGAAATGCATTGTAATTCAAGTGAGCACTTTCATTAACTGAAAAGTTGAGATGACAAATATGGCTTCTCTTGAGGCATAATAGAAGAATTTCTAGATTATGTATTGGAAAATATGGGTTCTCTTCCAAACTATACTAAGAATCAGCTTTGAATCTTGGCAAATCCCAGTTTTTGGGATTCTGATTGTGATCCAGTTCTCACTTTATATATTCCTTATGTTTGACCTCATTCACTTCTGTGACTTCAGTTAACACTTATGATCCACTGGCTTTCATTGTAGTAAAAACTGGACCTAAAATTCAAAGGCTCACCTTGGCCAGGTATCTCAGTTGGATGGAGCATTGTCCCCATATGCCAAGGTTGTGGGTTCAATCCCTGGTCTGGGCACATACAATAATCAGCCAAGGGATACATAAATAAATGGAACAACAAATCAATGTCTATCTGTCTCTCTCTCCTCCCTTCCCCTCTTTCTCTAAAATCAATCAATAAAAATAACTAAATAAATAAAAATAAAGGTCTCCCTTATATTTACTATAACTGGCTGACTTCTTATGACTATAAATTACTGTAATCAAAGAATTTAAATTTATAGAATCTAAATGCTATAAAACCTTGAAGAATCTTCTTTGTGTTTATTCATCTGAATGTCACCAGTGCTTTAAGGAAGTTAATAAAAAGGGTTTTAATGTATGTACAGAACATCAGCAGACACACTTAAAAACATCACTAAAATGTAATTTCCAGAAGCATTTCATTCATTGTTAAACTGCATTTATTTTTATACCTTGGTTTTAATACTGAAATTCTGGAAGCAGGTAAAAACAACTTGTTTTTCCAAATAAGGAACTCAGGCAGTCTTTTCACCCATCACAGTGATGCTCAGAAAAACAGATGAGCTAGGATGGTTTATCATTTCAGTTTAGAAAAGAAGACCACTTTCACTACCAGTTTTTTTTTTTTTTTTTTCAAATAATGAGAAGTCACTACTATTTTTTTTTTCTATGTCCTCTTGTTAGTGGCTGACTACTTGACTGTCATGGCCACTTTTTATCTTTACTGTGATGTTAACCTTGTTCAACCACACTTTGGGCAGCACAGAATAACTGGGTCCTGGTATTGCCAATGCGGACATGAATGCAAAGAGGTCTCTACTTCTAAAACCAGATCTGACATTTCAATAGAAATGTCAGCACACTTTCCTTTTAATGACCAGAGTCATAATTTTCACCTTAGGGGTAATATCAAAAATGTTATGAATTGCTTGTTTCTTGTTTACTCTCTCTTGCCCTCCACTGTGGAATTGCAGTGTGCAGACCTTTCACCAGCATAGAAATGACGAGAAACTCTTTTTCTCCAATGACCAAAAGTCAAAGCCAGCTCTATCAGCTTTTAAATGAAAATAAGTCTCTAAGTCCCTAAATATTGAGACCTCCTTCCTAATCGCCTCTTTTCCCCTGAAGTGAATATTCACTTCTTACTGTTAAAGTATATAATTTACACACAAAGCAGTATGTATTCAAAGAATTTCATTTCAGCTCTTTAGATTAATCTGACTTGAAAGAGAATATTTCCAAAAGGAATTTTAAGTAAATTGAAAAGGGCCTGTGGCCGAAATGTTGGCATGCGATCGGTAGAAAAAGAGCCCTTTTCAGACTGCACTTAAGGTGTGTGACTTCATGGCTTTACTTGGGGTAAAGTGCTCTTATAAATTCCTGTTGAGTATTCACTAATCTTACATTATTTGTGTGTATCCTGAGAAGAATGTTCATGTGATATCTGTAGGGGTTGCAGAATGTGACTTTCTGTTTTAACCACTGATGGCTACGCTCCACCAAGGCTCTGGGTCTTCTTGGAGAAGTCCGTCAATCCAGTGCTGATGATGATAGAGGATTACCTATTTCCCTCAGCTTCTTCTGTATCATGGTTTAATAATCACATCTAATTCGCCATATTTGTCATTTGAGATATTATAATATGAAATGTGTTCTAATCTAAAACTTGTATCAGAGCTGAATTTACATCTGTTTAGCTCAAAGCTGATCTTCAGTATCCTTTTATAAATTCATGCTTTCTTAATGCACTCTTATCCACAGGATGAAGATACTGGAATAAAAAGTAAAGCCCATTATATTGCCAAGGAGATCATGAGCTCAGAGAAAGTGTAGGTATCTAGTTTATAATTCTGAAGACTGTTTGTTTTCCCATTGACTCATTTAAAACGTATCTTTCATTGCTGTTTTTTTACAGGTTTGTGGATGTGTTAAAACTTTTGCATATTGTAAGTATCTAATAATATTTTCTTGAAGTCTAAGACTATCCTCTTTTCCATCTTTTCCTAGCCACCAACATTTCAACATAACTTAAATATAGTTAAATTAATATATATATGTATGTGCTTTCTAATACATGATTATATTTTTAAATTCACAGATATGTGAATATAGAAGTTTTTTTAAATGTATGTGTTTCATATATGTGTGCTATATCCAGATGATTTCTGAAAAATAGAGAGCCTTTTTATCTGTGTCTCCAAAGTTTTTGAACTTTCTGTCTTCAAAATAAAGAGTTTTTCAAGTGATATTTCTTTTTGGACATTTGCAGAAGTCTGCTATCGGGAGAATTTTGTATTCACAATATATAAAGTATATGATCAGTGTTCAATTCTGTTCTTCTACTTGAATAAGCTCATAGAAAGAGAATTAAAATAGACATTTTTACAACTGACTTTTTACAGTTCTATTTTCAGTTTTTATAATTGTCAACTTGAACGAACCTGTTGGGGAACAACTATGTCTGGCTACATATTCATTTTTCTTAGGCACTCCTTTGTACCTGCAAGTTTTTACAAGTTTCATTACCCATTGGCAGCTAAAGTGCTTTTAGTATTTCTTTATTCCAATTGTATTTTGGCAAGACAGTAAAACTTAACAGAAGAAAGGGATAAGGTAGAGGAAACAATGAAAAAAAAAAATTGAAGTGAAATTTTACTTAGCTGGTGTAATTATTAACATCATCTTAAACTTAATTGCTCAGAAATGGTGGTTCATATACCATTATTTTGGTTAGGGTTAGGGTTATCATTATTTTCAAAACATATCATTATTTTCAGTTTTCCTTTTAATAGGTACACATGAACATGAAATGCGGGTTTCACTTAAGGGTGATTCACATTTGCTAAATGACTCCCTTTGTGCTCTATACTTGGTACAACAGAAACATGGAGGCCTAATTTGTGTGTGAAAAATCTCTAGCTTTGGAAATATTTTCTTTTTTTTTTTAAATTTAATCTTTATTGTATATTTTTTTCCATTACCATTTAGTTCCCTATACCCCCTTTCCCCCAGCATAGAAACATTTTCTAAAATAATTCTTGTAATACTAATTTGTTTTGTGAAATTATTTCCCTGTGAATAGTTTCACACAGAACTCTTGATTATATTGGTAAGTTCTCTTTTATAATTCATTAAAATAAATTATAACAATATTTGGTCACCCAGATACATTTGTAAAGCTTCAACCATAATGTCATTTCAAATAAATAATAATAAGCTTGATAAATAAATGGCTTTTCAAAGTAAATTCCATGTACATGCACTCTTGTGCCCTAAACCTCTCCACTGTATAAGCAATTATGGGGGTGAGGGGAAGCTAAACTGCTATTTCCTGGAAAACTCAGAACATATCTCTAGGATGAACATACTGTATTCACTTGACATATTTTCTGTTAGACATGTTTAAAAATAGGACATCTCCAAGGAAATTTTAAGCATCTACAAGTTAATTCATAAGCTCTATTGTTAATAGAGGCAAAAAGTTCTATGGAGTCAGAAAAGACTTGAGTTTGCAATTCAGTGCACTATTTCAGCTGGTCTTGCATAGAACAGGCGTTGAAGATTGTGCTGTGAACAACGGAGTCCCTGCCCTCATAGTGCTTAGAGTCTAGTGCAGTGCTTCTCGCACCGTTGTGATGAGGGACTGGATTTTAAAAGGTCCAACCCATGGTGGACCAAAACTTTTGTAAAATACATTAAAAACGTCATAGCCATGTCAAACTGACATAAAAGGTGTTGATTCTTTATTCTCACTTTCTGACTAATATCTTTGCAGACCAATAACAATTTGAGGACCATACTTTGAGGATCATTGATTTGGTAGATTCTGTGTATCACCAGCTATGTGAATTTTAGAAAGTAGTTTAACCTTTTGAGTCTTGCTTTCCTATGGGTAAATGGGGACAAAAATACCCATCTCTCAGGCTGTGAGAATCAATGGACTAAGATATGTGAAAGAGCTTCATATTGCACCCCCATATATGGCAGATTCTCAAATTGCCTTTCAATCATTACCATCTCCTCCTCTGTCTTCCCTTTTAAGAGCATCAATGAATGGGAAACATTTATTCTATTACTGCTCAGTTGACTTTTCACTTTTTTTTAATACTAGAAAAGTAGTAAAGTGCTTAAGTATTAAGTATTTTAGTGCTTTTTTAATACTAAAATTTCATTTTAATGAAGGAAGTTTTGATTCTAGTAGGCAGGGAAGAAATTAAAAGCTTTACTGGTTTATTTATTTGGTTATTTAAAAATATATGTTCTGTTGTTACATCTATATTTTTGGAACAAATCATAAACCCTGTAAAAATGAAATTTCTCAAGTAACTTCAGATCTGATCTCATAAATGGCCTTTGGTTCTTCCCAGTGGATATTGAACAGACCCACCTTAACTCGTACATTTTCAAAACCTTCTAAGCCTCTAATGCCAGAGTGAGAATACATCCTCTGTCGACCTCATGTTAATATCCTGTCTGGTATGTGCAAACATTAACTCAGCAGAACCCTACTCTAATGGGTGTCTTAAGCACAGGGCATTAACCAGGTATGAGCCATTACTAGGAGGGGCTTGTTACCAGGATAATGCGAGTGAAGCCAAGAGTATCTTGCTCTATTTCAATATCCCTCACTATGCTATTAAAGCTCATATTTACTCCTCTACCAAAAGTACCCCACAAAGGTAGCACAGGGACCCTTTAATCCATAGTACTGCTGCTGTCTGATTTCATCTAAATGAATTAACTTCTGCTACATGATAGAAAACTGACTGATTTAAAATATATAAGTAACATGCTTTAGATAATCCAGTGGGTATCTTTTGGAAATCAACCAGCTATCCAACTGGCTTGGGAGAAGCAATTGCTTCAGTTATACATAATTTCCTATGAATAGATTTTTATATTTAGAGACTAGAATAGCATTAATAGATCTTTTTGGGATGACAGAAACATTCAATATCTTCATTGTCCAATATTAAACATTTTTAATATATCACTGTAGTATACTAACACTTTTTTAATGTAGAATTTGGTAAATAATTAGGTGAAATAGCTCAAAAAATTTAAAATCTAAGCTAATGAATCACATCATCTAAATTATTACATTGGAAGAAAATTGACTCAGGTAGAGGGCACACAATTTAAAATATACTTAAAATTGTAAGAGCCAGTGTACTCAGTTGAGGCCTCTGGCTCATCTATCTGATATCTGTGGGGAAAAAACTGCGCCTGCAGAGGCAGTGGCAAGACTTCACAATTAATGTTCTATGTGGTAGATACTCTGCAGTATGTATCATGAGCTCCTGGACTTTGAACTGGATTTTTTTTTTTAAAGGTCAAATGTGCATATTATCTCTAAGTGAACACCCTAATGAGTCCAAAGAGGGAGATGATTCCTAAAAGTCAGTCTTTCCCTTTTCAAAATGGTAGTGCCATCCATAAAGCTGCAAAAGTCAGAAAACTAGAACCTGTTTTTCCTTTCTCCATCACACTCACTTCTCAGCCAACCCATAGCAAACCCGTTGATTCTGCTTCCTCTTTACTGTCACCAACTTATCTCTAACTTGGACAACCATACCAGCCTCCTAATTGGGCTTCCTATAATATTTCCATTCTTGCCTCCCTTCCAATCTGTTCCTTATATGATTTTTTTCCTTATAAAATTTTGTTATTTTCTTAAAATATATATTAGAGCATGTCATGCCCCTGCTTAGAATCCTTTCAATGATTCCCATTGCATTAAAAATGAAGTCCAAGCTACTTATCAAGATCTATAAGTAGGACAACCATGTGTCCTTGTCTGCATTTGACAGTCCTGGTTATTGTCTTGGCATAATATTATTAATAGAACTTCTTTTCACTGTCAGAATGATCTGGTTTGGACAGTGAATTGTGGCCCATCATATAAGGTGCTATGTGGTTTGGCCTCTGGTAAGGAGATGAGACATTGCATTCTCTCACTCATTGACCATGTTCTGGCCATACTTGCCTCCTCAGTTTTTAGTTTAGTGCGTATGGTTATTCCTACTCAGAGCTTTTGCTAATGCTGTTTCCTATAATGTTCTTCCTTCATTTTGATCATACCAAGTTCTTTCTTTATTCTTCCAGTCTGGGTTTAATGTGACCTCCTCAGAGAACTCTTCTTTGACTCTCTTTTTCTCTTTAACCTCCCTTGTTTGTTTTCTTCTTGGCAATTAATATAATATGCATATTTGTTTACTTGTTTATTTTTAGTTTCCTTTACTAAAATACATGCTAGCTGAAGGTAGGGATCATATATTTTTCACATCTACCATTATTCTTCACTTGAAGGCCCTCAATAAATGTGTGTTGAGTGAATGAATGAATGTGACTAATTGATTAGTGGTTAAGAATTCTGCCTCTGCCACTATGTGCTTTTAGACAAATTAGTCAAGCGTTGGTTTCTTCTTCTGGAAAATATGAATAATAAATAAGGTCGGTGTGATGATTAAATTAGTTCCTGCAAAATAAATGGAAAGTACTTAATTAGTTTTAGCTGCAGGGTAAGTAGAGAGCCTTCAATTTAAATTTATTTATATAAGTTTAAATCCATACTATTTACTTTTGATATTATCAAGTAAGCTTTTAATCAAATCAGTGAAAATAGACTTTGTTCATGAAATATAAACTACTAGGTTTCTTTCTCCACTAGGCAACAAGGTCCATTAAGGCAGGGATTTTTATCTGCCCTGTTTATTGTTACCCCAATAAATTAATATGTTGAAAGAATGATAGAAAATTGATGAATAATAGTTGGTTTGGTAAAACTCTAATTATATTTGTTTTCCCCTTTAGTGGCAGATGCTGTCCAATCTAGAGGTTGCTATTATATTGCATATAAATGGACATTTTAAGGATAAAAAACCTTAGACATCTAATATAATTAAATACAAAATTAATACAATGTTTCTTGTTTTTGTTTTTGTTA